GGTGGGGGAGGGAGAGGGTGTTAAGGAAAACATCCTAGTGGCTTGCTGGAAAGATGGATCGTGGCCCCGGCTGAGGAAGGAAGAGAAGTCTGTATGAGGAAGATGAATGCCCTTTGAAAAAGTTGATTCTGAGGTGCCTGAGGACATCTTGGTGGACAGGTTCCACAGGTGACCCATTTTCCCAGGCCCAGGAAGTGGGGTGTCCCCTTTCCAGGCACCTGAGGCTCACCTGCTCAAGGTCTCATGGTGAGAGCATTTCTCAGCTGGGCCTCTGCCTTTAGAGTCCCCGCAATTTCCAAGATTCCTCAGGGAATCTTTCTCCCACATGAGAAGGCTACAGTGCCCAGGAGCCTCTCCTGTAGCTCAGAGAAGAAACAAGTTCCCAGACCTGAGATCCCTGGAGACACACATCCTCTGACAGGAGGACCCCACACATCCTCTGACAGGAGGATGCCCACGGCTAGTGCTGAGCCCTTCCTGTGGAGAGCACTGGGTCTGGCTTTGGTTCAGAAACCCTCCCTCTCTCCCACCCCCTCTAGAATCTATCAGATTCAGGGAGCTGAAGATTGAATCAATGCCCAGCTCAGTCTTTTTTCGCCCTTCTAAACCTGGCTAGCACATTCCCTGCATGAGCTGACTGTCACGTGTTGGGCAGATTCTCTCCATTTCATAACTTACTGTCCTCTTTCAGAATAAAACACTGACTTGGGCTGCCAGAGCTTCCATAAACTACTTAGAAAGGAAAGAAAGTGTCCCCTAAAACGAGACAGTTGGGAAGACATTATTCTCTGGGGGGTGGGGGGGCATTAGCTAAGAAATCAGATCTGTGATTTAATCTCAGTTCTGTTGCTACTGAGCAGTGCCACCTTGGGTAGGTCACACAGTTTCCATGGTTTCAGTTTCCTCTTCTGTAAGTTGGCAGGGGTGGGTGTAATAGATCAGTGGTTCTCTACCTTCAGTGGGCATTAGAATCACCCAGGGAGGGAGGTTGTTAAAACACAGATTGTTGGGCCCCACCCCAGAATCTCTGACTCAATGTCTTGGGTGGGTCCCCACATTTGCATTTCTAGCGAGTTCCCAGGTGATTCTGCTGCTCCGAAGACCCCACTTTGAGAACTACCTACTGAATTATCTCTAAATCCTTGCTAATCAATCTGTTGTCCTCAGACCACCATCCTCAGCATCATCTGGAAACTTATTAGAAACAAAATCTGGGGCCTTCATCAGTCTTACTGAATTGGAATCTGTATTACAAGATTCTCAGGTGATTCTTTTGCACATTAAATTTTAGAAACATGGCTCTAAATTCACTTTTGATTTTGTAGTGAAGATATTCTCTTTCTACACGCATGCACCCACCCACCCACCTATATATAGACACAGAGAAACATTTATCTCCTCTTAATTTGCAAGGCAAATTGTGGTTTTCCTAATGCTTTCATTCTACAGATGTATCAGTGTATGTAATCACTTCAACAGAGAATATAAGTTGCTTTATGCATTCTTATAGTAGGATCAGGAAAACAGGATCGGGGTGTTAGTGATCAAAGAAACCTTGAAGAAGATGGATGGGTGAAGGGACATCCTCAATGGAGTCTTATTTTAGTTCTTGTAACATACAAAATTGTTGACACACGAAGGCCCTGAGAAGGACATCCCAGACATTCTATTACGTATTTCTAGAGTTAAAATATGAATAACTTTAGGCTGTGGGCACAACAGAAATAACCTAAACCAGCAATTAAAAGCAAAATACCATCACAGACTTCAGGGAGCGAGAGGAAGATGCTGGTTTGACTGCTCGAGGTGGAAGTCATTTAAAAACATAGCGTGAAAGGTAAGACTATACTGTTTCTACCTTTTGAAACAAATTTGTCCCCAAATTCTTTTTATAGATCATTGAAATAGCTTAGGCCATTCAAATTTAAAAATGGTGAGATTTTAAGATGGTAGTTTATGAAGAGTCTGTATAATTGCATACCCACTGCCTATAAAATAAATAATGTAGACTTCTGCCTTGTGAGTCATGACTACACTTTTTCTCTCCCTCAGAACATAATGACTTTCATCTTCTCCTGAATCCAGAGAGGCTTCCTATGGAGCAAGATGGCAGATGAAAACATCTTTGCTCACTACACACACCAGGAGCGAGTTTTGTAGGTAGAAGGTGTTGGGTGAGGCTGCTGTAGATGGGGTCTGAGAGCAGGTGCACTCAGAGCGGAAACAGAATATAGGGGGGAGAAGCGGAGTCCCCACGCCACAGGTGCTCTGCTCACCTGGCGTGACTGAGGACACTGGGGAGGACCATGATGCGGTTAGACAAACCACAGGCCAGGATGCAGACGCTGCTGCTGCTGCTCTCAGTGGGCCATTGTCCCCTAGGGAGGTTCCCTGGAATAGGGGTCAGGGTGCACATACCGGGTCTGGCAGGGGTCCTGGCAGTGTGGGGTCCCTGCTGCCATGAGTTCTGGAGCCTGCCCAACCTGCGGCCCTCACTGTCACGGCGGTCACTGCAGTGTGTCAGCAGCTCTAGGGGCCGGGAAGGGTATAGGTCCGACTCGATGATCACCTGCTGGGAGGAAGGGCAGTCAGCTTGTTCCCTAAATGAGATCTAGGGATCCATGGCCAGGCCAGGACTGCAACTTTGCAGATGGACCTTGTGCCGACAAGCACATTGTGGAGTCATCCTTGCTCCATCGAATGCTAGGAACAGTTTAAAAACATGGATAAACTGGCCAGAAACAGCAGTTATTGAACTTCTGAATGTCCAACAGTGCCAGGAAAATGACGGCTCCGGAGGTTCCTCACCAACAGTCCCACCACAGAGTCAGGATCCTGGGCCATCAGGCCAAAAATCAAGGCTGGTCACCTGCATCCTGGGCTGAAATAGTTTGACACAGGACAGGTTATTTGCAATGGGGCTGTGAGGCATAGGAGAGGGTGGTCCTCACTCAGCACCCTGCAAGTACATCCCCTCTTTCCCTTCCTTTTAGCACTGCACTCTGCCATGATGTTGCCAGGAATACTGGAATTTCCTGGAGTGATGTTAGGTGAGAGTCCCATTCCCCTGGACACACGGACTGTTTGACCGAAAGGCCCTCCCCCAGAATAGAAATCTCTAGGTTGAAGAGGAAAGACCTGAGTCTCATTGTTTGACACTTGCAGGGCTCTCTGCTGTTGCCCCCCCATGGCACATATTTCTGACTTTATTTCCATTCTTTTGGCGTTCCTCTCAGGAAAGAGGGGTGAGGACTGGTGTGTTTTCAGACCCACTTTGTAGATGGAGAAAGTACGGCAGGATGTAAAAGCCTGAGGAGTCCATGGGGGAGACCCAGCATTTCCTCCTCTGAAACATTAAGCAAATGTCCCCCGTCAGAAACAAGAACTGCCACCTCCACGGTCCCTTCTCTGCACTGTGGACTGGGGGAAGATTGGGGAGGGGGAGAGTGGAGAGGAAGTAGCTGCTCAGCCCATCGCTAGATGTAGGAGCTTTCCTGGGGGCGGAGCTGAGGCTGGTTTCTTCCCGGGTTATGACTTAGGGCCAAGTGCCTCTTCAGAGTACTTCTCCAATCCCCCCAAAGGGATGCCAATGGCAGGAAAGGACAAAGGAGAGGGGTCCAGCTCAGAAGATTTCCCTTTTGTAGCTGGCCTTGTACTTGGTTCTCAATTTCCACAGTAACAGAGACTCTGAGAGGGCACCAGGGCATTAGGCCCACACCAGGAAATGGACAGCTAAACAGATGGTTGTGGCCTCCTGACAGCCTGGTTTCTTTTCTGGTCTGTAGGACGCAGTCTGGGCTTGCTGCTGCTGCTGGTGGTCTTAGAACAAACCTGCCTGAGAATGGGCTCTTTAGCACCCTGAGTGCACGGGTAAGATAGGGAACCGGCAGCGGGGTTGAGGTATATTGACAGGGAGTTAGAAAGACAGGTGAAACTTAGGTGATAGAGAATCATCATGATTTGGGGCTGATGGGATCCATAGCAGTATTCTAGCCAAACTCCCTAATTTTACACATAGGGAAGCTGTGGCCAAGAAAGGCGTGTGCCTTCAGGGTCACAGAGCCCTTGAGGGGCAGAGCCAGGACAAGAACCGTGGTTTTATGACTCCTGAGTGCTCTTGATCAGATGCACAGAAGTACCTACATCCAGATAAGAATTTTCCAGTGCAATCGATTGCTCAGTGCATTTTGGCAAATCAGCAGATCACCAGACAAATTCCTCCTCTGCAAGGTTGAAATCTGGGGAGAATGTGACATTTGCAGTCTCATTTATGAGTCTCATCATTTCCCGATGGTGCCCTGCTGCTTACTCTGAAGGGGTTGTAAATCACAGTGGCAGGGCCTCTGTTGTACTGGGAGTCCTAACTGACCCACACCTTCGTGTAAATTCATTCCTTTGAGCTACTTTTATGATGTTAGTGGCATCAGGTTGATCAGGATGTCAATAAAATTGCTTAAGAATCCAAGGGAGGAAAAAAAGACTACAGAGACTGTCCAGACTGTCTAAGGAACAATTTTCTGGGTTCAGAAAAAAAAAAAGGAACTGAGGAGGAGTCCAGAGAGAGGAGAAGCTGTAACACTAAGTTAGATGGTTGAGAAAGGAAAGGGGTATTTGTAAAGGAAGGAACCCGACATCCACATGGTAGTCGAAGGAGTGAGGACAGACACAGACAAGAATTTTAGGAGAGTCATAAACACTGGTACATTACAGCAGCTGCAAAATATGAATCATTTTCTCAGGAACTCAAAGGGAAGCCAAGAGCCGATTCGATGAGGAAACAAGAGATCAGAGCCAATTCTTTCTTCTTTGGGCCTCCTGTTCCCCATCTTAAGTGGACTAAGAGACCTTTTCTGTCTTTTCTAATTTGAATGTTCTGTACGGCTGGGGCTGAGTTCTATAAGCAAAAGATGAGTCAGGCTGTGAGGGTAAATCAGAAATTCAGAGGAGAGCTCAAAGGCCAGAGGGCGTTATGGAACTGTCTCACCTGGAGGAAGACTGCATATTTGAAGACAGGGCCCAAGCTTATGATTTTTTTTAAATCAAGAGGAATTTTATGTGTACTTATTAATATACTTGAGTCATTTTTTTTCTGAGTAAAAATATTTTAGAGAGGAGAAGTCATACCATAAACATAGCAGTTTTTCTAAAAAATTTCCACTCTCAGGAAACCCTGAGATCATGGTTCTACAGTGTCAGGCTGAAGTCAACTGGATATCCCAGGAGGGCTGTGGCCATGTTTTTGCGGCTTCGTGTACCTCATGTTCATGTGGCTTCACCTCCACCATTGAGAATTGTCTCCTTTGTTTAGGTTCTAAATCCCCTGAGAACTTTCTTTCCTAGGACCCTAGAAAGTATAGTGATTTAGTTTCCATTTTAAAAGTTTTTGTAACCACCGAGGCCTATGCACCAAGGAATTAATCCCCAAAATATATTTTTTTGTACAAATAAACTCATTGCGCTGCTATTTATAATAGTGAAAAAATAGGACAATGCAAATGCCAACAATTGGAGAATACCTAGGTCAGGGTTGCTATACCTACGTTGTTGACTCTGTTTAAATACAAAAAATGGTATATACAAAACAAGATTTACTCTCTGTGTCTGGGGAAAATGGCAGAATAGGGGGGTCTAATTCAGAGCTGTGTGCTGTCTGGTTAACATTTGTTAATTATTTTGGTTAAGTGGAGGAGGGAGAATGCAGCAACAACAACATGGGCTATAGGAAACCTTCCTGGTTATGTTGAGAGCAGGAGAGAGAGGGAAGAAGCTAGACAATGCTTTTTTAATGAAAGTCAATAAAGATCAAAACTGAAGTTTCCTTACATTCTTGGTCAGGAGGTGTTGTGAGCTTTTGACTCTTCTTCTGGCTGGACTGGACACTGCGAAGAGAGAAAGGAGTGGTTTTAGATTAGAGAACACCTGTGAGGAGGAGCGGGTTTGCACCTGGAGTGCGGCAGGGCCACAGAGCAGAGGGAATGGGAAGAAGAGAGGGGGTGCAATTGCAATTTTAGATGTTACTTAGTTGAGTAACACAGAAGTACACAGCAGCACTACCCACAATAACCAAAAGGTGGAAACAACCCAAATGTCCATCAATGGATAAATGGATAAAATGTAGTCTATACGTTCAATAGAATACTATTCATTCTCAAGAAGGAATGGAATTCTGATACCTGCTGCAACATAGATGAAACTTGAAGTCATTAGGCTAAGTGAAATAAGCCAGATACAAAAAGACAAATATTGTATGAGTCCACTTATATGAGATACTTAGGGCAGTCAAATTTATAAAGACAGAAATTGGAATAGAGGTTACCAGGGGCTGGAAAAGAAGAAATGGGGAGTTATTGTTTAATGGGCAGTGATTTTTCAACTGGTATGCTACAAGAATTTTTAAAAGGTGCAATACCTGATTATTTAGTCAAGGGCACTGCCCTCTTTTTCCTTAGATTATCAAGTAAAAAAATGACAACAGCCAACACAACAATAGCTGTGAATGCCATTTTTTTTTTCCTTTTTATTGAATTTATTGTGGTGACACTGGTTAATAAAATTATGGAGGTTTCAGGTGCACAATTCCACAACACATCATCTATATATTGTAATGTGTTCACCACCCCATGTCAAGTCTCCTTCTGTCACCATTTATCCCCCTATCGGCCTTCCTCTAGCAAGTGCCACACTGTTGTTCTTGTCCAAGAATTCTCTCGCTCTCTTTTTTTCTTTTTTGCTCAATCCCTCCCCCCTCCCCCATGAATGGCCTATCTTGAACCATAAATATATAGGTCTTATAATAGAGTTGCTTCTTATTGGTCATGTTGCATAATAAAGCTGTGTCTGATTGGTTAATTCTTGGTACCAGAAATCCTTACATACAAGTATAGGCACCTGATTTTTTAAAAAGTCACTTTGGAGCAGAAAGGATAGGTAATTATTATTGTTATTATTATTGTAAATAAGTCAAAATTATATCTTTTTTTGTCAGGTCAGAAAAAAATGTTTTTTGGTGTGCTGCAGAATTTTAGTAATTAATTTATGTGTGCCATGAGAAGAAAAAGGTTGAACAATTGCTGGTTTAATGGATACAGAGTTTCTGTTAGAAATGATGAAAAAATTCTGGAAATGGATAGTGGTGATTGTTGCACTACAATTTGAATTTTCTTAATGCTACACAATTTGAATTTTCTTAATGCTGTATACTTAAAAATGGTCCAATAATAAATTATGTATTATGGATATCTTACCACACACATAATAAGCTTTAAAAAATCAGTTAACTGTAAAAACATTACTTGGTTGGGAAAAGGTGGACATTTTGTTGGAAATGGAGACTTCCAGGCATTTCTTCTCCTCATTGCTGCTAGAATGATTTACCGTACTTGAACCCAAATCCCACCGCGTCATTCCCCTGCCTACAACTGAAATGACCTCTTGTCACCTGTCAGATAACTAACCAGGTGAGTGCTGTGTTATCTCCTTCAGAGCACCTGCAGCTATGACACCCATCGCCCAGTGTGGGGTCAGCAACCAGGGCTCCCCACTCCTTTCACTTAGGTGTGAGTCGGAACTTGACCACTTGCCGGTTATGTGACTTGGGCAAATTACTCATCCTCTCTAAATCTCACTTTCCTCATCTGTAAGTTAGGGGCAATAACAGCACCTACCTCAGAGGGCTGTGGTAAGGATTAAATGAACTAATTTGTATAAAGCCCTTGACCTACCACCTGGTGAAGACTAAGTTCCCAGGAATTAATAGTGGTTATTATGATTTTCTTCTTTCCCTGCAAAATGCGGGCTGGTGGGAGGAATAGGTGGTAACTTCTAGAGACTGTAGCATCCCACTAGAGTTTCTCTTTCTGGAGTTTTCTCCATTTCCTCTGTCCCCTATTCCCCTCACCCAGCCCTCCCCGTCATTGTTTACCCCCAAGTAGGTTATTTTGAATGCTGTGGTATTATTCAACCCAGTCTGGTGTGGCTCAGGAAATAGCTGCTGGCATAACTTCTTGGTAAAACCACAGCTTTTATCTTTTGTATTTACTGTGAATTGTGGCTGTGAAATCTTTCCCTGAAGGGTCTCTTTCTCTAGAAAGTGAAAATACACACTTGTCCTCAGTTACAGACTTGATCTATGTCCTGTGCCTTTAAAATACTTAAGAAACTCCATAACATTTGCTGTGGCCACGTTTTTGTGAGATATTAAGATGGCTCAGCTAAAAAAAAATATCGCTATTAGGCTGAACCCAATACATGTGTGTTGGAAAGAGGGCTATAATACAACAATAATAAGTGTAGTAATAGCTCCCCATGAAGCTTTACTCTGTGGATGGCCTATTTGCCTTATCTCACTCACACCTCCCAGCAGCCCTGTGAGGCAGGTGCTCTTCATTTAAAAAAAAAAAAAGTATTGATTGACTTGAGAGAGAGAGAGAAACATCAATTTTGTTGTTCCACTTATTTATGCATTCATTGGTCGATTTTTTTATTATTTTTTCTTGTTAATTCTCACCCGAGGACATTTTTTCCATTGATTTTTAGAGAGAGTGGGAGGGAGGGAGGGAAGGGAGAGAGAGAGAGATATGAGAGAGACACATCGATTGGTTACCTCCCACACATGTCCTGACTGCAGCTGGGGAAGAACCTGCAACACAGGTACATCCTCTTGACTGGGAATCGACTCTGTGGCCCTTCAGTGCTGGGGCTGACGCTCTAACCCCTGAGCTACACTGGCCAGGGCTCATTGGTTGATTCTTGTATGTGCCCTGACCAGGGATTGAACCCACAACCTTGGTGTATCAGGACGATGCTCTAACTAACTGAGCTACTCAACCAGGACATAGGTGCTCTTCACTTTATAGATGGGGATACTAAGGGATGGGGTCAGTTGATGGTGGAACAATGTCCATGCTCTTAACCACTAGGCAGCACTGCCCACATGGCTGAACGTGTGCTCTGAAAGTGTTTTGGTCTTTGCCCATTGAATAAGCATGGCTGAACAGCAGCATCTGGGAAAGGGCACATCAGGGAGGACTATAACCCTTGTTAGTACAACCTGTATTTCTGCAGTTAGGGAATGTGAGGATGTGGTAAAGAGTTATAACCTCATAGTGGTGATGTAAGAAGAACTAGCACTGTCTTCTCTCAATGAGGGCCCTCTGCCTGATGGTTTTGGAGAACCAAGATGCAAAATGAGAAGAAGGAAGAGGCAGCCTTCTCCCATCTCTGGTCTAAAATACACTGCAAATACTCCTTTTCTAGACAGCAGCTTCCTGAGCAGCGAAATGTGCGTGAATACTTGGTTTAACACCATGAGATGGCTGTGAAAAAAATGGCAAGAAAGGAATATGAGATTAAATATTTATCTTTGACCTAACATATTCATTGTTGTAAATGTGGAATAAAAATGGAAATCACTTTGTAAGTGATATATTTAATGGTGTTTACTATATGCTATTCTAGATGCATTACCAGGTGCTATTCTAGATGCGTTACATATTTCCTCTATATCTCACCCCCCCCACCATAATAACCCTGGGAGGTGAGTTCTAGTTCTCCCTTTTACAAAAGTGAAAACTCAGGCCCAGAGAGGTTAAGTAGCCTGCCCAAGGTCACACAGTGAAGAAGTGGCGGCAGTCTCTTGACCACTATGCTAAGCACGTGGAGTCAGAGGCCCAGTTTTGAATAATTTTATTCAGGTGAAGTGTGATATTGCTCATGAACTGCATAATAATTTTTTAATTAAAAAGAGCCATATGGCTTTGATTTTTTTCTCCCTTTAAAAATTTTTAAATGGAAAAGAAATGACAGAAAATAGACCCTTTAACATTTTCATATTTGCTTCCAACTTGTTTCCTTCTCATATAAAAGTAATAAGAAATTAGAGGTCAAGTTTAGGTCCCTTCTTTGTCTTCCCTAATTCTACTTCCCTCCCTCCCCAGGGATACTAAGATCACTAATTTTAACTGTATCTTTCCAACCTATGTTTTCACACTTTTCTCAAAATATGTACCCATAAACAATATGTAGTATTGTTTTGCATTTCCAAGCTTAATCATGCATATGTAATTTTTCAGCCTGCTTTTTCTCACTCAACATGATGTTTGGAGACCTATGTCCATACATGCAGACCTAGTCCACCGCTGTTGACTCCTGTGGAGTATTCCATATTGTGATGACACCACATTTTACCCCTTCCCCTCTTCAAGAACACTTAGATTCTTTTCAGTTTCACTGTCATAGCATCAGTGCCACCATGAGCATCCACATCTAAGAGAGAAGTGGAATGGCTGGGTCAGAGGGTCATGACCACCTTGACTTTCCAGGTACATTTCCAGAGAGTCTCCAGAGAGTTCCAACTCCTGCACGTGGGCCAACTCCTAGTTCTTTTTTCTCTCTGGCTATCTGGCAATAGATGTCTAAAGCTTAATTTATGTTCTGCTTGCTGTCTCTTTGTGACCAGGCTGAGTCTCTCCCCCAAACCCCTACCCCCTCCAGCAATGGCCCCGTGGGTAGCTGACAAGGGAATAAGAAAAGAATTGTTTGAACAGGGAATCACAACACCAGCAAACACCCAGCCCGCTTCATTTAAGTTTGACAATGAGACCAGGGCTAAGCCAGAGTCCTGGACTCTCCCAGCAGGACAGGGGCTGCAGGGACAGAAAAGAGGCCCCAAGAGAGAGGGCAGAGCTTTGGAGGGAGCAAGGGAACTGTCCAGTCACAGACACTTGCAGCCATCTGAGCTCTCACCCAAAGCCCCTCCCTGGGGTCTGGGTAGAGGCCAGCCTGGGTTAGGGCGTTCTTTGACCACTTCCTTGGACTTTGTGTCACTGTGGGGAATATTCCTCCTCATATTTCACCACACAGTTAGAAATCAGACTTTTGAGGCAGCTGGTTCTCGTTTCAGAACCCACTTGCTCACTGGAGAAGATGAAAGAATCTATCTGGCTGCCCGGGGAATTTTGTTTTTGTCTCCATTTCCTCTGACAATGGCTCGCTGTCACTTTCATTCGGCATAGTGGGATGCACTATTGAATTAAGTGAACAGGAATATTTAACTACCCTTATTTTCCCCTCAGTGGATTGTTTCTCAGCGATTTATATTCACCCATGTGCATCCTTTTCAGAAACAATAACAACAAATATCATCCAAACCGAGAAGCAGTCGGAGATCAGAGACCTGAGGGAAAACAGTAGTAAAACAGCACGTGATTGCCCTCACCCTCCAGCACAAGGTGCCTGGTTAAGGGAACAGTCAAGGACAATTTTACTCACCCTTGGAAGGAATGACAGTGGTGAAAACTTCTATATTTTCGTCACTGCAGCTGTAAATCTGATGCATCGTTTCAGCCTTCTCTCCCCTAAAGCGCCTGGGAACCGGAGGCCTCTCCCTAAACCCCTGGTCGCGAGGTTTCCTAATCCAGTCTGGCTCGGGGATCATTGTGCGGGTCCACAAAAGACAGGCTGGTGCTGTGAGCTCATCTCATTCCAGTGTTCGCTGCAACATTTTCTAATCCCATCTGTCCTTTTTTTTTTTTTTTTTTTTTT